CCTGCCGGCCATCATCTAGAGATGCCATAACTTTAAAGGTTCTTACCTCAGCCCCAACCTGGTGAGGCTGGGGTATCCATCTGTGAAAGTCCCTCTCTGGGCCCCCTCTATTTCGAATTCCTGGATCCGCCACTGGGCTACACAAGTATAAGAAGGCTGGGGATAGAATTTATATAAAAATGTATCGTCCCACTGCACTCACCTCTATCTTCAGCAAGATCATCGAACGTTTAAATTTTAACCACATTTATTCTTTTTTTAATCTGATTCCCTAATATCTAACCAAAAAAAAAAAATCAAAAAAAAAATCAACCAATTTGGATTTCGAAAAGGATACATAGGCCTATGTCCTAGCCTGCTGACCCAAGTTTACCATCACTGGGCCTAGATTCTTGATAGCTACAAACCACCAGACATCCATTCAATCTTTCTCGACTGGAGCAAAGCTTTTGACCGACTGTCACACTACTTTAATGATAAAACTTCACAAAAGGTCTTAACGAGCAATGTGTTGGTTTTAACGGCAGTATTTGGGGCCTCTTTTATATATTGTTTATTCAAATGACCTTAGTTCGCAATTATCTCCTGGCACTTATTTGTATCTATACGCAGACGACACCCCAGACTATGCTACAACATGACTTGTTAAGCATTGCACAATGGTCCGAGTGAACAGAACAACATGACCTTAAACACCGGCAAATGCAAAGTCATGTGTATAACAAGGCGCAATATCCCATATCCCAGTTACCTTGTTGAGAATTCACCTTTAGATTATGTATCCTCCCACAAATATCTTGGCGTTACCTTTTCTTCCAATCTAAAATGGCACTCTCATATCGGAAATATTGTTTCAAGAGCTTCTCAAACATTTTATTTCATTGAACGTACTTGTAATCATCACCCCTTTTCGTTAATTTTATTCAATTCACTTTTTAAGCCAATACTTGAATACTCGTCTGTCGTCTGGAACCCCCATCTTCAAATCAACATTACACAAATTTAGGTAAAGAAATTTTACCCAATTTCTCTTGAATTATTTTCGCTATCCAACCAATACTGCTTATATCAACTATGAAGACAGACTTGCCCGCCTAGCTCTTAACAGAAGAATATTTCTTAGTCTTATGTCCATGTATAAAATAATTAATGACAAAATCCAAATCGACTCCTATAGTTATATTTAATTTAATACCCGTAAACCGCACCCAACGCTCTATCTTCCTCATGCCAAATGCAACTCTTTTTTTTTCACTGTACACCAATTACTTGGAACAGTACCTATTTCAATATGTCTGTCTCCTACAATCCAGTTTTTTGAACATCATTAATACAACACTTTCATGACAATCCAGCCCTATAAATCTTGTTTTAATAACTGAATTCACTTCAATGCAATATTTTGATCTTCATTCATTATTATTATTATTACCACCATTATTATTTTTATTATTATTTAATATTATTATTTATTATTATTATTATTATTATTTATTATTATTATTATTATTATGTCTTTGTCAATATCATTGTTTCTCTGGTAGGCATCTTTTACAGGGACATGTTCCCTTTTTTGCCTACCAGACTCATTACGTTTTGAGTGAAATAAAATGATAAATTATGAATTATAATATAAATCAAAAAAGCGATTGAGATCACGATGAATTCCATCCTGGATCGTCAAGGTACTTTTATTAATCCTAATTGTCGGCGATACCGTTCTGCCAATGCCTTTTTCTTGTAATAAACGTCACATAGGTCTATGTAATTCCAATAATGTTGTAAAGCCGTAGAATACGATGATTTTTCTTTATAAAATTATGGATTTTGATTGTGAATTTAGTTACTTTATATAATTTATACGTGTCTAGCTGTACCCGAAATAGAGGGCTTTTATATCCACCTTTTTTGGACGTGTTGATTTTACGCGTAGAGGTCTATTTAAGCATTTGTGTGATACCTACAATAAGTTCTGTATTACTGATACTTTTTGACAGTTTAACCATTTTTAAGTCAAACATATTTGGAATGTTTTAGCTATACAGTATATGTATTTTTTCCATGTTATATATCTATACATTACATTTATGTCATCTTTTTTTAATTCGAGGCTTAATCTCTGTGAGATGTTATGGCAATAAAATTTAAAATATATCAAATGGGAATAATAAATCGAAATTGATGGACTTCACTTAACTAAATCACAGAAACAGCATTATCAGGATGATTTTAAGTACATCCAAACATTAATGAAAGAGTTTGAGATGCAAAATCAAAATTCACTTCATAGAACACACACATGCTTCATCTTTGTTTTTCTATTAAATAATTAATTGTTATTATCACAATACTTGAGGAATCTCAATAGGCATATACTAAGTAAGCCTAAATCTGTTATCTTTACAGAATGATGAAGTCATCAGCATCATACTTTAGCTACTGTGGAATACAAGATGTCTGTTTCTGTTGCAATTTAGGATGCAGAACAACATGACTTAAACTGTGGTGGTGGACCTTTCCTATCATTCAACTCTATATCTACCCCTCCTGTTTTACTCCTACATTTTTGGAGTCCTAAGGAGGTCGGGTTTACCCACCAGAACCAGAACCGACTAAGCCCCCTAAAATTATATCAACAAGAGTAGTAGATAAAGTAGCCTAGTAAGTTGAACTAAAATTGTTCTGCCTTTTGGCCTGTGTTTTACCAACAGATTTAAACAAATTTCTATGTTGTCCTGAGCAATGACAATAAATATGATTGAGATTGTGATATATGCCAAATGAAGGTAGGATTTTCAGGAGTTTATTATTTCTTAAATGTTATTACCCTCTACTGGTAGACTAGGAAGGAACCCCAAATTTCATAAATGATGCATATGTTATTGAGACTGATCAATGGAACATGAGTTCAAGCTATTACTTTCAATAATTTATAATAATGATATAGATTATTATAACTTACATTTTGTGTATACTCATAAATAGGCTAGTAATCAATTAACAAATATTTGTATTCAAACATCTGGAAATCAGCAATGATTTATTGGAAGTTGACAACACATTGCTTCTTTGAATTAAATGAATTAATCAATCATACGCATTCAATATTATTCAACAAATACATAGGTTAAAATTATTGTACTTTGATTTTTTTTTCCCCTTGACTACTTCATTCTCTATATATATATAACCAATATTTTTTGACTGCTTGATTGCTATTTTACTGTTCATTCCAACAAATTTTTCCTTTCCACTTTCATAAGTAGCTCTGTACAACAGACACAATGCCTTTTTATATTCTGCTCCTGCACACTGGAACAGGTTTCCACTTTCATTTCCTTCTCTTCCTCTATTTTATAACCAGAGACATTTCATTTTTCATTTGTAGACTATCATTGTGCTAAAATAGTGCGTATTTGAAAGAGAAATAAACAATAATAGTATAGTAAAGTATTCTAATCCCAACTTTATAGTTGTATTTGTGTTTGTTTATTCACAAATGAAAAAGAATCTATGGATTCCCGTATCTGAATTCTACAGCTTATCATTGCTAGACTTCATCCAAAAGCCAGTGTCTCTTAAATGAAAATACAATGTTACATAAGTCTCTTAAGTGGTTTAAGTTGTGCAGCTGCTTTTGTCTTGAGAAAAAAATCCATGTGCTTCGCAGGATTTGAACCCAGGACATTGGTATTGGAAAGCTAGCACCTTAAATAGAAGGTTATAGCTCCACTTTAAATAGTACAGGTCCTTCAAAATCCTTTGCGTAGCAGATACTCCTTAAGTTTTTCTTCAAATCTCCCTTTATACCGTATCTGTTTAGTGTATTCGTGAACTTGCATTGGAATATCATACTCCTCAAACGGTTGTAAATAGACTTTGAGCTCATTTGCCAGAGCCTGATAAGAAAAGGAAGCAAATCAAAATGAACATTACTTGTCTGTACTTATACGAATAAACTCCTCAGGGCATTTTTTGTTGAGAAGGGTTTTTTAGGGTGTGTTTATTCAAGGGAGGCGTTTTTTTGGTGTAAAATGGATATACTCGAACAAATGCCCCTGAATTTCACAGTAAATGTGGAACTACAAGGCATAATTACTGTCAAACTGTGTTATCGCCTGATTATGAAGACTTATTTATCCCAACCAGGTTAGAAAAAATGTTATATTTATTTAGTTTATTAATACCATTATATATACAGACAGATTATGACAAGGAAATGGTCCTTCAACATAACAGGTTTTGTCAAAGGAGAGAATAAGGATTATAAACCGCTTAATTTACTGTCCTTACCCAAATGTCGCCCTCTATATGAGACACCACTGTGAGAATCTGAGTTCCAAGCTTTTTGATCTCTGTATACACTGGAATATTGTGGTACCTGGTTCTTCTGATAAAGTATGGACAATTAGCTGGAGCTCCTGAGAGAATAACAATAACAAAGTCAATTACAACTAAAATAATAACAATTATTGATTAAAATATTGTTTGAAGGTTTGCATGGCAAACAATAATAAATGCTTGCAGTACACCACATAGTAATAGTTTGTCCTGAAAAGATCAAACTACACTACAAGTGTTTATTATCTACATTTTATTGATTACTCAATTATGACAACCTACCTGTAGGAGGTGACCATCCACATGGTGTAGGGTAGCTTGTGTGCTGAGGAGGTTCTGGAACCTTTAGAGGTGGAATTAATCTCTTTACATACTTGAAATCTTCTTTAGATTCTATGACTCCTGTGCGTCCAATATCACTCTCATGTGAAATGCTTAAAAACTGCTGCCTCCTTAAAAATGGAGGTGGTAAATATGTTCTGACAGAATTCTGACAATTTAGAAAATAAATAAATACAGATTTATTCATATAGGTCTATAATAGAAAATTAGGCCCAAATAAATGTTTTAAATTTGATTTGCCTTTTAATAATAAAGCCTTTTTAACATGTTTTAACTTTAATATATTATAATAGGTCATTGTTGTATATCATTAGATATCAGTTCTGTCCAGCTTCGTTCTCCTGCAACACTCCTGTATTGGCCTACATAAAGTTTAGACTACTGTACCTTCGCTAGGCCCAGTCCAGAGAAGCGCAAGGGTGACAGACAGGACAGCGACCAAGCTGAAAATCGCAGATATTTGTAGTAGTAGGCCTACCAAAGCCTAGGGCCTAGGCTAGGAGAGTTAGTTTCTAACTTGGATAAAAACTAGTTTCTGAGCTTACGGCCTTATGTTAACAAGTTTAGCTTAGTTCCTACCGAAAATATTGTCCTTTGTGTGATTTTCATAATGGAAATATGACATTTTGATGTCAGACAACAAAATCGTGCGACTCGACAGTAGGCTGCCATTTTGTTTATTTAAAGCATTGTGGGTAATGTCATGCGCACAATCGGCCTTTTTTAGACGGCTGGCTTAAGATTTCACAACGTGGTGTAAGTTAATGAAAATAGGTTGTACTTTTTGCATTTTAACGAAGTTAATAACATACTGTTATCACATGTGATATATTATCAATTATTAGCAGACAATTATTGTGGGATTTTATACGATTTTGTTACGTTTTTCAAGCACATTGAGTAAATGTTTCGAGTTCGATTTCTATCAATCGTCAGGCTAGGAGCCTAGCTAGGCCAGCCTAGTTAACCAAGGCCTAGGCTAGGGTAGAGAAATGCTAGAAAGGGGTTGATAGGGGCGAGTTGACTGGTATCCCTAGAAAGAACCGCGAGTCAAGTTGAATAGTTAGATTTCCGCCCAGATTTTGCTGAAAGTTAGGCTTTGACCTAATCTTAATCTGTTTTTTTTTAGGTATTATCTGCGCAATATTAAAATTAACAATATCCAAAGCCTAAAAGTGTATGTAGGCCTAAGCCTATATAATCGTAAACATACTTTGATAAGTGTACTATATGGAAAATATGAATTATATAAAAATACTATATATTCATTTTTATTGTGAATTATTTTAAAAGCCGTTTTACTATATTTATAAAATTACTTTTTATGGAAACGTAATAAATTTCAGTCATAAGCGGATTTGATTTTAGCATTTTTTTTTTATAATTTGCACTTTAAAAATTTTAAATTATTCTATTTTCTATATGTTCATTTATTTATGTATTTATTTAACATGATCTGAGAACATTTATCATAAATGGAAATGCAACAAACCTTACGTTATACATGACAAACTAATCTTACTACTTATTTCATAAATCCCCATTTTATTTAAATATTTATAAACATGATCAAATTAATAATTTAATAAAATAATGAGGTGTAATGATTTGTTTCAATATTTTCGTGTGCCTTTTTTAGTTGTTGATGTTTAAAATTTATATATTTTACTCGTAATTGAATTGTGTATGGAAAATACATGGGTTTTAGCCATTAGGCCTTTTTACTTTATCTTGGATATTTTGAATAATAAAATATGTGTTGTAATGTAAATGGAAACATTTTTTAAAAATAAATTATAACCTTCTCTATAGGTCAATCATGCAGCTTATTGTAAGTGCTCAGCGGTCACATCTTGTTAACATTGGTGATACAGTCACTGTTCATGATGTAAAGGTAAAACATGCAGTGTTTGAAACTACATACAGTACATGTTCATTAAACTGCAAAAATTAAATTACTCAATAATATTATGTCATGATGATGACCTTTCTCCAATTTTAAATTTAAATGGATGGTATTCACATTTTAAAAACTGTAACCTAGAGCTTTATTTGTTTACTGAAATTGTATATTCTTTATATTTTAATCCTTAAAAATATTAATATCTCGTATATTATATTTATATTTTTAGAGATGAATAAAGGATGATTTAAAGAAAATTAACTTTTCTCAAAAATTTTGCTTTTATTGTGAAAAAACTATTTAAAACAATTTAAACCAGACATCAATTTGAAAATACAGTATAACTACAGACAATTTTTAAAAATTAAAATTGTATCTGTTGTATTTTAAAAGATATTGTTTATAATCTTTTTCTCCTTTTTATTGAATTTTAGCTTCAAATTGAACGGCTTGAGGGAATCGTAGCAGATGAGCAGGTCATTTTCCATGCTGGTTCCCCATTGGATAACTCTGTCATCTTGGCAAAGACCGACATTCTTGAACTCTCTACTTTGGATGTGCAGGCCCGTCTACTTGGAGGTTTGTATAATCAGTAGGGAGCTTTTGATTGCACGACATGGTAGAATTTAGAATGTAATTACGTCGCTAATATTTCATCTGCACATGCAAGAACGTTAAGTTCTCGTCGTGTGGATTCTAAGACGCAATTTGGCCAAATCTACATTGTGCAGAGAACGTAGGACAGTCACGCATGAGTGAATCCATTCTAGAGTCGCGTCATCGTGCAAAATCGAAAGCTCCCTAACATAAGTTCTACACATGATGAAGCCTGATGAAGCCCAACTGTTAACAACTCATTTATTTACTTGTATTACTGACTACACTTACCTCACCAAATAAGTCTGAGTACCTGTATTATTTAGGCATTTTTTCCTTGCTAATGCAATAGAATATCATGTTTCACAATATCTTTGAATAATTTATGTTCAAATAATTAGATTAATTAGAATAACATTTTATTTTTTGTCACAAGGTAAGGTTCACGGATCTCTAGCTCGTGCTGGAAAGGTCAAGGGTCAGACACCAAAGGTAAAATATTTGTATATTATAACATTTTATATTTACCTTACATAATGTATGTCATGTTGCTTATTGTTGTTATTCATATTATATTCTATTTTCATACTGTTTTAGTTGAACATTTCAGATATTTTTAATTACTGCATAATGACATGCTGAAAATTAAATAATGAGGATGAATTCTGGCCTCTTAATGAATACTGCACTGCTCTATTAATGATATTGCTCTCTTGTGGAGTAAATACCTTGTGATATTTTCCTCTTAATGTATACTGCCATTATAATGAATACTGCTTTCGTAATGAATATTTACCCATAGTTATAATAAAAATGCTAGCATGCTAACTAAATTAAATATCAATACATTTTATTTTATTTGTATACTAGACCTGAAGGTGGCATTCTTGTATTACTGCAATAGTTAGCACTCAAGTTATTAAAGCCCCATATTTCCTTACTAATGTCTGCCGCCCTCATACTGAATATTGCCCTTCAGTATCATGATAGTAACACTATCTGTTGCTCCCACAGGTTGATAAGCAGGAGAAGAAAAAGAAGAAGACAGGACGTGCCAAGAGACGTATGCTCTACAATCGTCGCTTTGTCAACGTAGTGCAGACCTTCGGCAAGCGCAAGGGGCCAAACTCAAACTCCTAAGCTGGATTATATTTCTCTCAGAATACAATTTTATCAGACCAACAGAAAGCCCCATACATCTAACACAGATTGTATAATTTATTTCTACATTGCTTTTCTCCGAGTACAGTAGTCATAAAATATCTGACATAAATGATAAATAAATTGGCTTAATAAAAATATTGTAAAAGGTATTTGAGTTTGCTCCACTTTTCTTGTAACTTGTTATAGAATACTGTACACCAATATTAGCTACGAGTTGAGTGGCTGAGCGGTAAGGCAGGGGCGCTGCTAACTACAGCCTTAACATCGGCGCTGGTTCCAGCCGCTTTTCGTCCAGGGTTTGGTTGGTAGAACCAAGTCTTCCAGGATAAGGACTTAGAATGGAGGTCCAGTGTATACATCTGGCTCATGTGCACTTTAAAGAACCCATTGCATCTTTCGGAAGAGTAGGGGGTTACCCCGATGTTATGGTTTATTTCAGCCAATGTCATTGTAGAATGATGTGAACATGTAGCTACCATAGGTAGTTACGGACCACGCTCATACGCAGTTCAGTCAGAGGACAATGATGCTGCATGTTCCGGGTTATTCTACCTCTACCTCTAGGCATGTCCATTTCAAGACGCCTACTTATGCCACTGCTTACATGTTGACAAGGATACTTTATTTTGTTAAGTAACGAATAGTTTGATAGTACTCGGAAAATAAAAAAAAGCTTAAGCCTTTAGATTTTTATTTTTTCATAGTAAATGTAACAGATAACATTGACATTCAGTATATATATAGCGCTTCACATTTCAGTAAATGTAAAATCTAAAAATTAAATAGCATTATGGAGAGAATTTTGCAACTGAAAAAATAATGAGGTTTTGTATATTACATGTAATATTGCACTTAGCAAGAGTCTTTGGAAGTGCTCCATTATCTTGGTTGTTGGTAGCTTAATGGTTATCAAGAATGGAAATTAGACCATGAAGTCTGGGTCTGAAGGCTACTTTAAGAACAATGTAAAATGGCGGATAGTAGGCATTATGCCATAGACATGTATGGGCCGAAGGACCCGCCCCAAAAATAATCTCTGCAAGGTGTGGCAGCAAAACATAATTAAATTAGCCTTTTCACACAGTCTTAGTTATTGTTTAGTTTTTTACCAATCAGCAGCAAGTCTCGCTATACAAACATCAGTATTTCCCTGTCTGGATTCTCTGCAGATATTATTCTCCTGAAGACGATTGAAGCAACTCAACCGAAACATTGAGGTATTCTCAACAAACAACAGTTCTTTTCAGAACTATCTACATGGTGTACCGCAAGCATGAAATATAAAAACATAATTACAGTATTATCACCTTTTACATTCATGAATTCTTACATAGGTATACTTTATGTATGTATTGACAAGGATGGACTCTCTCAAAGATCTAATTTGCTATTTGTGTAAAGTAGTACAGTATATGTTTTAATAGGTAAATTAAAATTAATTTATACAAGTTAACATGCCTCTCTTTTAACGGTACAATTTAAAACAAATTCCAAATAGGTTATAACAACATTTATGGAATATTGGTAGTACACATACTTCAGATTATACATGATTATTGAATTATTACAGCAGTAATCATGGAAAAAATATATAACAAAATAACAATAATAATGCTGCACTATGTAAGGCAGGCATATTACATTCATTTCAAGTGTGTTCACAGACTAAAATATTTTGCAGTATGACTATTGGAAATTCATACGCTTAGATTGACACAACTACATTATAGGCATGTCTCGGTAGTCCTTTTGTGTACTTTTTTAAATCATAAAATCTAACAGGTTAATTCCAAAATCGGCATTATCCTGGAGTACATTTCCCTTGGGAACACTTAAGTTGCATTCTCCATCAGTTATCTGATGGAAAGGACCATAATACAAATGCAACACTAATCTGTCACAGATCATTTCAAAAATATACATATTCAAATCATGATCAAATTCAGCTTACATGAAGACAACGGCTCTCTGTCAGTAATAACAAGAGGCAGATATGCTAGGAAGTCAATATAGCATCTATTGGCTATTATCTATATTATGTTTGAAACAAATATTTTTAACGGTTTTAAACCAAGGTGAAGAACCAAACAATTATCTCAGGATGGGTTAGCATGAAAATGCTATCTATGCCATCTCTGATGATGACCAATAGCAGTGGCATATCCAGGATTTTGAAAAGGGTGGGGGGGGGGGGGTGGGGCT